TTCGAAATGCGCAACTTTATAGTCTTCATGTTCTCTATACTTAATATGCAATACATATAATAGGAATGATGGCTGTTTTTTGACTTTCTTATCAAAAACGTTCCTGTAGTTCCAGTATCATATAGTAATAAAGAAGTAGCTTTTTCGCGGGCAATATCCTTGAAAAACCACCTAAAAAGTAAGAACATGCATATAAAATATAGAAAAAGATATGGCATACATTATACAAAATTTTTTTTATGTTTTAGATATCTTGTGTGTGAATACAATTAACCTTTTTTCAGAGATAATTATGATGATAAATATGATAATAAACTTTTTATAATAATACATACATACATACAATATAGTAAAATCAATATCGTTTAAAATTGTATTAAATTAACTTAATATTCATATTATCGTTAAATTAGATACCAATCATATGATTAATTATGAATATCATAAAATAAAATTAGAACTAGTTGTGTATGGAATTGTGCCTTAGGCAAATTGCAGGAACTTCCCGTACCATATCATACTGTACCATTCTCTTATATTTATAAAAATTATATAAAGTTAAAATTATTTATTTAATTGTTTAGAATTAAAATTAAATTTTTGATAAAAAAAATTAAAAAAAAAAAAATAAAAAAAATATTTGAAATTTTTTTTTCCCAAAAACATTATTTTGTCAAAAGAAACAGAAAGTTTTTTGAGCCATTCAAATACGCTGCTTAGTTCTCACAAAAACTGCCATTTTTTGCACGATTAGCTTGTTATCTTCAAAATCGTCAGACTTGTCTTTGCCAAAAACTAAACACCACTTCTCCCAATCATTACAAATTGAATGTTTTTTGGAGCATTCAAATCGGATGCTCAGTTCTCTCAAAACCTCCATTTCTATTTTTTATACTCTTTGCTCGTATCTCCGAAACGGCTGGACCTGCCTTTGCCAAAGACTAATCAGCACATGTCCCTAACATAGGATTCTTTGAACCATTCGAATCGGTTGATCCGTGCGCCCGAAATCGTGAACGAAAAAACACATACAGACATCCTTTTTTTCTGAGGTATGCCAAAATGTTCAGAAACCTTCAAAACGTGAAGATATGCAAAAAAATTATTTTTGATTTTTGGCCCATTACTATAACTACCCTACGGGAAGTTAAAAACTAGGTGTAAGTGGCAAGTTAAATGAAGTTTCCGCTATGAGTGAATAATCGATTTAATCAATAAATATTTGATTTGTATTGATCTATCTGTCTAACTGTCTACCTGTGTGATGTCAACTTTGTACTTTAGTATCTGCCTGCATATCCGCTTGTCTACCGATTTACCTGTATTTATTTCTACCGCTCGACATGCCTACCAGTCGACCTGACAACATACATGTCTACTTGTCCACATGTCTGTTTATCTGCCTATTTTCCTGTCCATTCGTCTACTATACCTTCTTTAGTCTACCTACCTGTCCATTCGTCTCTATTTCGTCTGTGTATCAATATTTTTACATGTATGTAAATGAATATTAATGATTTGTAATGATTAACGATTGAAATTGTAAAAGAATTTCTAAAAGTTGATTGCGAATTAAAGAAAAAAGATACCATGACTACAGAATACATATGATTATAGTTACTAACTCTTCATCCTCGAATCGACGTTCCTCCTCGACCAGCATTTTTGGTACCAAACCTTGTCGCATGGTTTTGAAGTGAAGGACTTCATAATAATCCTCAACATTTTGTAATACTTTCATTCGGTCTCCTACTTGGAACGATATTTCGTCGAATCTTTAGCTTCATAAGCGTAGACTCCGAATACTAATAATAGTGGTGGTTCAGGATGTTCTGCGAAAATAATGAAGAGTAATTATAAAGGTAAAATGACATGACATAAAGATTCAAAGCTTGTCAAACACAATTCAAAACTAGTGGGGCGCATGGCATCGTGCCTTAAGGCAAATTGCTGGAACTTTCCGTACCAAAATTTATTTTCTTTTAAAAAGATTAACATTTTTGAAAAAATTACTTTGAAAAAATAGATTTTTGAGAAACTAACTTCTTTAAAAAAAAAGACTTTTTGGAAAAAAATTAAAATCTGAACTTTTTTCAGAGCAATCGCACTGGCTTTAACTGCATAGAGACGAAATATCAAAGCGCGTAAGCGCTGCGTCGCCGTCTAACGGATAAACATTGGCACGGAACCCATAGAAATGTAAACAAAATTTATACTTATTGTTAAAATCTCTATAAAATATGTGATAATTTGATGTGCAAACGTCTAATGATCATTTTTGACCGTCAAATGGCATTTTTTTTACTTTTCTTACTAGATCTCCTAAACGGCTAGACCTGCCTTCATAAAAATTTGATCAATTTTTCATCTTGTCCATATAAGTAAAATGTTTTTTTGAATTATTAAAATCAGATGCTCCGTTCTCTTAAAAACTGAGTTACCGTTTTTAGCATTTTTTGCCCCGTATCTTCGTAATGTTCAGAAAACCCCTGAAACGTAAAGATATATAAAAATATCCATTTTGTTTTTTTTGCGATTACTATAGCTTACCCGACAGGAAGTTAAAACAGGGTCGTCTATTTACACAAGGCCAAACGTGGCGATTTACACTACATCATTTCAAAAAATAGCGTTTTTTATAATCCTCTGTATAATTCATAAATTTTTGAAGATTAATTCAGGAACTCTACTTCTCATAGTTCGAAACGGTAACTCAGGCCTTAAGGCAAATTGCTGAAACTTCCCGTACCAGAATTAAATACTCAAGGAAACAAATCTATGATCAATAAATATTTATCAATGATAATAACAATTGTTTCGAATATTTCCAATTATTTTATCGCTCATATTATATAGCGACGATCTTATCGCGATCGTTTACATGAGGCATCTATCTGAGGAAATATTGCTTTCGATTAGAATAACGCATATGAAATATATATATTTTTCAAATAAATTTTAAACTTTAAATTTATAGTTAAAATATAAAACCTTGTATATGTTTGAAAATTTTGAAAAAAAAACTAGTTGGTATTGGTATTTTACCTTGAGGCAAGTTATATAACTTTCATATATGTGTTAATAATCGACTTAATCAATAAAAAAGAAATTAATTTATGAGTGCTTAAAAGTAATTCCGAGTGGATTTATTACGCTTAATTGAAAACGAACGAAACGTTAACTCGGAGTATTTTCTAAAAGCAAATTTTCAAAAATCATCAATTTATAATTGAATCAGTTTCCGCAGAACTTTAATGGTTTAGTATGTTCATTAAGACGAAGTACTCTATCGTTATACCAAGTAAATCCTGTAATTTTAATATTAACAAATGTCAATAAAAACTACTTATTTTCTCAAACTTTAATAAATTTCTAAAATTATACTACTTGTCGTAAGGCCGTAATATTTCAGTAAGTTCTATAAGACCATGATATATATCGCTAAAAAAATTCCATAAAAATCGGCTTAAATTTGTTTCAACAGTTAATTACAAGAAAATGGTTTGGTCGATTTTTACCTAAAATTAATCAGTATCATTCCCAACTAACATCTTTCGAACAGTTTTTGATTTTTTAAATCGATCGATTCGGTAGTTTGAGCTTAAATGTGGACGAAAAGTTTAACACTTTTGTCCAAATTACAAAGGAACTGCTTGGCAGCAATCGTCTCACATAACTGACAAACGATAGTCCTCATTGAATATCAAACAATCAAATGGCTTTTAAATTTCTGAAATTTTCAGGCGGTTTTGAGAAAACGTCGATCAAAGATCTAATTTTGACAAATGCCAAAGAACGATACTAATTTTTGCAAACTTTGATGAATTTTTAAAGCTCCTGATCTACCGTCAAAAAAATAATAATAAAAATTGTCGAAATTCTTTTTGAAAACTTTATTACAAGAAAACTACCCGGCTGATCTTTACCAAAAAACTAATCAGGTCGATTCCCAACCAATATCTTTCGAACAGTTTTTGAATTTTCAACATCGATTCAGAATTGCGGGCTAAAACGTGGACGAAAAAATTTTCTCAATTTTGCTATTTACAGAGAAACGGCTTGGTAATCGTCGCGCAATTGATAACGCGATACATCGAAATCAGGTGCTCCGTTCACTCAAAAATTGTATTATCGTTTTTGGCACTTTTTCCCTCTAGCTGCAAATCGGCTGGACCTGTCTTTGCCAAAACCTAATCAGTACATCTCCCTATCAAAAGGAATCGAATGTTTTTTGAACCACTCAAATCGGTTGATCTGTGCGCCCATAACGAAAAAATACGGACCCACAAAACACACACACATCCAATTTTTCTGAGGTGTGCCAAAATGTTCAGAAACCTTTGAAACGTGAAGAATGCAAAAATTTCATTTCAAAACCAAATCAGCACATTTTCCCATCAATAGGATTCGATTTTTCTTTTCATGTCGAATGCTTTTTGAATCCATATATACGCACAAACACATACAAACACTCGCCCACACCACATACATCCATCCATTTTTTCTAAATTATGCCAAAATGTTCAGAAACCACTCAAACGTGAAGATATGCAAACGTATTATCTCCCGATTTTTGGACTATTATAATAACTTACTCTACGGGAAGTTAATAATTATCGTATCTTATAATCGATTAATTATTATCTTATTTTATATTTTATTAATAATTTCGATATCTTATAATCGTTAACATATTTTTCCTACGAATTGTCCATACCGCTTTCGTCGTTTCTACTGCGATTCCCTTCATGACTAAGTCTTGGTCTTTTTCTTGCCATGTCGGTACAATTTAATAAAAATAATTAAACCGTAAAATTTAATATTACGACTTCACTTTTAACTGTCTCTCATAGCGAAATCCAAACCTTTTATATGTAATTTATATCTTATCTTAGACATTATCACAACTTGCGTGATGCTTAGAGAACGCACGGGTAATTGTGGATAAATTAATAAAAAAAAATGCATTATAGTGTTAGTTTCAGCAAATTTACGTATATTAGAAGATACGTGTATAATTTTTCGTTAAAGTTTTCATTCACCAAACATTCAGAACCGATTTTGAATATCCAAAATTATTTTAAATATATTATTTAAAATCGTGTTAATAGTTTTTAGTAAGGATTTGAGTAATTATTATTCATATTGTGAATAAGGGTGTTCCAATGTGTAATGCTTAAGGTCACGGACTTGTGTGGACGCAGTCGTGTGTTCGAACCGCGCTCTGAACAGCCTGACATCGTGCAGGAGCGATGTCAATTTCCACTTGAGTATATAGATGTAAAAATGTTGCTAATTGATAATAGCACATTTCGGGCACAGTGGTGAGAAATGGAAATGAGAAATCTCTCATACAATTCTTGCTTGAATCGAGTTGGAGTTTAACTCCCTAGGGCAGTACTACTTGTTATTATTTTATTGTGAATAATATGGTAATAATAATTTTGATTAATATATTATATATAAACTAATAATAATTACCCAATAATTATATAAATAATATATAAATAATAGGGTTTGCCGGTTTTCAAAAACCGGTTTTGAAAACCGATTTTTTGGCAAAAATTATGAAATTCAAAAACCATTTTTTTAGCGGTTTTACTGTGAAAATTGAAAATGACAAATATACTAGAATTAGATGGAAGCAAGCGTTTTAATACTTTGAGTCATATCGGTTCGATAAAATTAAGAATCATATCAGTCTGTTATAATTCCAGAATGGTTCTGTGTTATTTTTTGGTCGAATGTATATTGATTTAGATCAATGCAACTTTTAGGAGTGAACTGCTCTACTAAAACTATAAAACGAGTTTTTAGCTCTAGAAGCTACAAATAAAAGAACAAAAATCTAAAATTATTATATCAAGCTTGAAAAACTATTAAGCCTAGTTCGGTTACAAGTGACATTTTTTTTATTTAATTAAAAGTTAAATTTTTTATTTAGAAATGCATTATTTTTATTTATTCGAACTCTTTTCTTTCACTATCATAAAAATATTTATATTCTCATATGTGAAAATGATGCATGAATAACGAATAATCATTTCAACTTATTTAATCCAGATCAACTATTATTTCTTTGTTCTACTAATTAAAATTAAAACAAATTTGTTTACTATTCATAAATTGAACGTTGAATAAATTCAGTCAAAAACTGCCGATATATTTTTGTTATTACAGAATATTCGAGCATAAAGTGATATTTTATATAAAATTCGAAAAACGGCTAAAACCGGTTTTCTGGGAAATTTAGAGTTCGAAAACCGGTTTTCTAAAATGTCAGTTTTTGTATAAACCCTAACCCTAAATACCAATTATTTGTTAGGTTGATGATTTTTATTCATATTATATAATAAATTATTATTTTAATTATGTTCATGATATTATTAAAAAGGCATTTTTTTAGTAATTCATATATTTGTCTTCTATATTATATTTTATATATAAATTTTTCAAATTGAATCTATTTAGGACAAATTTGCTCTAATTGTAAGTTCAAATAAATGACAATGGAAAATTTCTCAATAAATTTTATATATTTTATGAAGAAAGTATTATGTACTGTATAGATAATATTGTAAAAATATGATCAAAATCTAATTCAATTTTTAATTTATTATCATAAATATTTTTCGATAATTCATGCAGTTGTCAACTAATTAGTCACCGTTTAAAAACTTCTGATTATGTTCTAATTACTTTATATATCTTAACATTTAAAAGATGCATACTCTTATTAAATGTCAAAAATAACTAGTGGTGCATGGCATCGTGCCTTAAGGAAAATTGCTAGAACTTCCCGTATCGCAATATACAATTTCTTATGGCTAGAAAGTTAGAAGTTATAATTTGTTCGACCAAATTTTGCAAACATTTGAATATTTTTGATAAAAAGGACAATATTGACTTTTTTAAAAATTCAGATTTTTTTTAATAGAAGTAAAAAAAAAATCGGTACTTATTATTAAAATCTCTATAAATTATCTGATAACTGTATGTGCATAAATTTCGTTAAAAAATCCGTTTTACTAATTTTATGTTTTCTTCTTACGTTTCAAGCCATTCTAAACCAATTTTAACTAGTTGGTTTGGTATTTAGCCTTGAGGCAAGTTACATGAACTTCCCGATATGTGTAAATAATCGACTTAATCAAAAAAAATGTGTAAATAATATACTTCATCAATCCTACTTTAAAAAAAACGATAATAATTTTAGCAAACTTTGACGAATTTGTAAAATTAAACTATTTGTCGTAAGGCCGTAATATTACAGTAAGTTCTATAAGAACATGATGTATATCGCCAAAAAAGTACCATGAAAATCGGCTTAAATTTTTTTTCAACAGTTAAATACAAGAAAATGGCTCGGTAGATTTTCACCTAAAATTAATCAGTATCATTCCCAACTAATATCTTTCGAACAGTTTTGATATTTTAAAATCGGTTCGGTAGGATGAGCTTAAATGTCGACAAAAATTTAACACTTTTTTTCAACAGTTAATTACAAGAAAAACGGCTCGATAGATTTTCACTTAAAATTAATCAGTATCATTCCCAACTAATATCTTTCGAACAGTTTTTGATTTTTTAAAATCGGTTCGGTAGGATGAGCTTAAATGTCGACAAAAATTTAACACTTTTTTTCAACAGTTAATTACAAGAAAACGGCTCGGTAGATTTTCACCTAAAATTAATCAGTATCATTCCCAATTAATATCTTTCGAACAGTTTTTGATTTTTAAAATCGGTTCGGTAGGATGAGCTTAAATGTGGACAAAAAGTATTTTCGAATTACAAAGAAACGGCTTGTCAGATCCTTGCACAAAACTGACAAACGATAGTCCTCACCGAAATACATCAAATGGCTTTTAAATTTCTAAAATCGGTTCAGGCGTTTTTGAGAAAACGTCGATCAAAAGTCTAATTTTGACAAATGCCAAAAAGACCATACTGATTTTTGCAAACTTTGACGAATTTTTAAAGCTGAACCAGTTATCGTAGGGCCGTAATATTTTAGTATGATCTAGAAGACTATGGTATCTATCGTCAAAAAAATAATCATAAAAATCGTCGAAATTTTTTTTTTAAAACTTTATTACAAGAAAACGACCCGGCCGATCTCTACCAAAACTAATCAGCACGATTCCCAACCAATATCTTTCGAACGGTTTTTGAATTTTCAAAATCGATTCAGAATTGCGGGCTAAAACGTAGACGAAAAATTTTTCACTTTTCTGCCATTTATAAAGAAACGGCTTGGCCGATCGTCGCACAAAACTGACAAACAATAGTTCTCGTCGAGATACATCGAATGGCTTTTAAATTTTTGAAATCTACCCAGCCGTTTTCGAGAAAACGTCGATTTACGGCAAAAAATCTGTTCACATACACACACACACACACACACACACACAACACACACACCCACACACACATACTTTTTCCAAATTTGATCTCATTCGATTCAGAATGGCTTGAAACGTCGAGAAAACATAAAATTAGCGAATCGGATTTTTTGATGAAAACATAAACTTCTCCTTCGGGAAGTTAAAAATGTATGTGTGTGTTATTCTGAATCGATTCTGAAAATTCAAAAACCTTTCGGAAGATATTGGTTGGAAATCGACCTGATTAGGTTTTGGTAAAGATTCGCTAACTCAATATCTTGTAATCTTCTTATGAATTTTTGTATGGCGATAGATATCATGGTCTTCTAGAAATATTACGGCTTTACAAGTCGTTTAATTTAAAAAAATCACCAAAAATTGAACAAAATATAGTAGCATTTTGTGACGTATATTAAAATTAGAACTTTCTCGACGTTTTCTCAGAAACGGTTAAGTCGTATTCAAAAATTTAAGAACCATTCGATGAAACTTGATAAGCACTCGCGTTGGTTAGATTTTTTATACAATCGGCTGAGACGTTTCTTTGTAATTAGCACAAAAATGAGAGATCGATTTTAAAAATGAGAGAGAAATCGATTTTAAAAATTCAAATCTATTCGAAAGATATTATTTGGTAGTAGTCCATATATGTTTTGGACAAAGGTCGGCCGAGCCTTTTCTTCGTAATTGACTGTCAATTTTTTTTTTCGATTAAAATTTAACGCCCTACGGCAAGTAGTTTAATTTTTAAAATTTATCATATTTTGAAACAATAGTCAGAACTTGTGTCAAAAGTTTCTTTTGTGACATGATGAGTCAAATATTGTCAATTCATTAAAATTTCGAAAAATAAGCTAAAATTTTATGACATACAAGTGCAATATAACTAAATTAATTACAGATAATTTTTTAGAAGTGATTGAGAGATATCAATAAGAAATCGTAATGTTAAGATTCAATTGAAAGCGAAAACTTTAATATAGAAATATACAGTTGAAAATTTAATCTAAATATCTAAATCTCAATTTCGGTTGATCAAGTCAATTATTACACATTTCTGGAAGTTCGTGCAACTTGCCTTAAGGCAAAATGCCACTTTCAACTAGTTTTTAATATATTAGAGTTATCGGAAAATTATTATTGATAACTTAGAAGGATATTTTTGAAAAGCAAAATGTAAACACAAAATAGTGAAAAAGAGTAAGGATTTGCGTTTGCTTATAGCACTAACATAATATAATATATTTTTTTGAGAATATATATTTTTATTGTTTTTTTTTTTGATAATGACAGAATAATGAAACCTCATGACCATCAATAATCTATAATTTGTTTTCGAACGTTTTTTTCTAATATTAAACATAAATACTTAAGCATAAATTTAGTCTTTCAAATAACTATTCTAATATGCAAGAACGTTCCGAGTTATTACTTAGGTTTATTATGCATTCAAGT